CACAGAAATATGATTTCTATCCGAAATCTTTTTTAAGTTCTTAATACTTCAAGCAAAAAACGTTTGTGTTAATTCTTTATATAAGACATTATCTTACTCATCTTTGCTTCTAACATACCCTTTTCTTGCCAGACGTGGCAATGTACATCTTTAATCTCAGCACACAGGAGGTTAATGCATGAGCATCTGTGAATTCAAGGCCAGCATGGGTTACATAGTGTGTACCAGGGCCAGGCAGACCCTGTCTCAGAACTCTAAATAAATGGCTAGACATGGTGGCGTACACCTTCAATCCTACCACTTGAGAGGCAGAGAGCCTGGTCTATATACTGAATTCCAGGCCAGCCAGGGCTATATAGTGAGACCCTATCTCAAAGAAAAACAGCCACAAAAACCAAACAAGAAAATCCCATAACATACCTACTTCTCGAGCAAGAATAATGCTGCTGAGGCGGATTGGTTGGGTGGATTCAGCAACAAGAACAGCTCTTTGGGAACAAGAGGTGCCATTTTTATATAAAGGCTCAATGGTAACTGCATCGTGATGAGTGGAATGCCTTCCAAAACAAAATGGTTAAGAGCATGAAATGTGTGGCTCAAGGCAGCATAAGGAAGAAATGTCTACTTCTCCCATGTTGCATACTATGAGGTATGCCTAATGACACTCTAAAGGAGCAGCACACTGTCAGGGGACACAAGAATTAAAACAGGACAGTGATCTCTTGTGCAAAGATCTAAAATGTTATATTCCTCCCAAGATGTTTAAAAGAAGACTCACACTGGGCTGTGGCAGAGCACACTTTTAATCTGAGCATTTAGGAGGCAGAGGCAGGCTGATCTCTGTGAGTTTGAGGCCAGCCTTGTCTACAGAGTGAGTTCCTGGACACGCAGGGCTACTTGGAGAAACCTTGTCTCAAAAAACAAAAGAAGACTCACACTGTAAGAAAATAACATTGGGACTGTGTTGGCAACCCGATAGGGCTTCCTCTTACCTTGAGAAATAATTTCCTGTAAGTCTAGAAACTGCACTGCTATCTAAGATGGAAAAGTTGCCTACTTTCTGAGACCAAACAAAAATACAAAACAATCATTTGCATCTTGGCTGGATGGAAAGCTCTCTATACTAGAACTATCCCTGAATGGTGGCCATCACATTGGGTCATCTCCAAGCCTAAGTTCCTTACACTTCTTCATGAAATGAGAGTTGGAATTCTTGTACTCTGGGACAGAAACCTCACTATTTCTCACAGAAGGCAGGGAAGTGTTTAGGGATGTAGTTCCTTAGCAGAGAGCTTGCCTAGCATGTGCAAAGCCATAGTTGAACCCTCAGTTCTGCAAAGATGCAGGAAGAGGAAATCGCTTTCATTTAGGATAAATGTTCTGGTATCACTTTAGTTAAGCTCCCTTACAATTCAGGTAACCACATGACCTGCCATTGGGTTTATCTTTTCGTCATAAGGTCATTGTCCCTGAATTGACTACTCTGTATCGTGCCACGTCCATCATACAAGCAGATCTCTAGGAATGATGAATCGTGTCTTGTTACTCTAGTTTTGTGGTTGCTGTCAGGGTCTTCTAATGTGTCTCTCACTTCACCTGTTTCTGTTTCCATCATAAATTCCTCAAATTGGGGAAAATGAATGGCAGCAGTGTCTGACAGAGGGTTTGCCTGTGCCAAACAGTTGTTTGCACCGACTGTCTCAACAGGGAGGCTATCAGACGTCCATCCTAGTTAATTTCTTACTTAAAGAGACTCACAATTTAGGGTATATCCCACCCAAGGATGCCATGTTCAGGCACCTCCACACCGCAGGACCACACCACATTCCTGTAATCCTTTCCCTCTTCATCCTGGGAACAAGATCCTGTGACCTCTGGCGCCCCTCACCAGGTGTAGCAGCCTCGCTGCGCCTCCAGCAAGAAAGGCACCCGGCCTGGCTCGCGGCTGAACGGCAGTAACACTTGCGGCACATTGAGTTTGTTGGCCAAGGTCCCAACTAAAAACAGGAAGAGGTGGTGTGGAGTCAGGGAGAAAAAGAGCCCGAAGCTTTGGGGTCCCGGAGCCCTGGAGGCAATCATGGCTACCGCCTTGATCTCCCCCACTCCGGGCCCCACCCCACCCCCAGCCAATCCGCAGCCACAACGTCAGCGGATGCCTTTCTTGCTAGGAATTGTGGGTACTTTTAAATGCGTCAAACGCTCACACGCAAAGTTCGGGCACAGACCGCAAAGCCACTTTACTAAATGTTTGATGGTAAACTTTACTAGCAAAGAACCAGGCAGAAACGTCCAAAAATCCAAGCAGGCCTCCCATCTCAACTCCGCATTTTATTGTTTGGCTCTATTTTAATATTTTTAATAAAATAGGGAAGACTCAGCCGGGCGTTGGTGGCGCACGCCTTTAATCCCAGCATTCGGGAGGCGGAGGCAGGCGGATCTCTGTGAGTTCGAGGCCAGCCTGGTCTCCAGAGCGAGTGCCAGAATAGGCTCCAAAGCTACACAGAGAAACCCTGTCTCGAAAAACAAGACACACACACACACACACACACACACACACACACACACACACTGGGGTGAAACTCATGGGGTGTGTGTTCAAGGGTCTGGGTTCACTCCCTAATACTAAATAAAAGAAACAAGTCAGCATTAGTCTAGGGTCATAAATGGAAAAAGTCCAGTCTCTAGCATTAAACAGCTGCCCTTAGTCAAGGTATGTATGCTATTTGTACTAGCAATCAGATTTACGTCCTGCTTCCAGACCATAGTGCAGGATAATGGACAATGGCCTCAGAAGCATCTTTGAAAGCCATTATCTCATGCAACCTGACTCATCAAAATACTCTGGGAGCACTAGTTTTCTACTGGGGTGTGGTGGCCCGCAGAGGCAGGAGGATCAAGAAGCCTAGTCTACAAAGCAAACCCTCCCAAAGGAGCAGGGAGGTGGTGTGCTTGTCAGGTGAGCACGAGGACCGGAGTTCCCAGCACCCACATAAATCTGGGGTACGTCAGGGTGGTGGTGTCGACGGTGGCGCACACCTTTATTCCTAGCCCTCAGGAGGCAGAGGCAGAGGCAGGTGGATCTCTGTGAGTTTGAGGCCAGCCTGGTTTACAAGGCAAGTTCTAGGACAGCCAGGACTGTTAAACAGAGAAAGCCTGTCTCAACTCCCCTTCCCCCAAACAGCCTAGAAACAGGGTACAGCATGCCTCTCATCCCAGTACATTAGGGAGTCAAAGACAGAAGGGTCTTGAGTGCCAGCTAGACTAGCTGAATCTGTGAACACTAGGTTCAGTGAGAGACCCTGCCTCAAGAAACAGTGAATAGTGACTGAGGAAGATATCTGGTATCAGCCCCTGGCCCCCATGAAATGCCCCTCCACATATACACAGCAAAAACAAATGGAAAAAAACTTGGTTTTCTCCCAGCATTCAAGAGTATTTAGGAGAATGAGCAACATTATGTATTAAGGAGTCTCATAAATCCATGGAATTATATGGTTGTAATGACAAATGTATAGTTCATTCTGTTAGATTATGTGACCTATCGTCATGTTGCCTCCAGTGTACAGGTGATGACATTAAAGAACTTACATCCAGACATACTTCCACCCTACCTTTAAAAATGGGGTATGTGTACGTTGTCACATGGGTGTAGTGGTCAAAAGCTGACCAGGAATCAATTCTCTACTCGCTATGTAGACCCTGGGATCAAACACAAGTCCTTAGGCTCAACCAGCTAGTGTCTTTAACCACAGCCTTCTCACTGGTCCCCCTTTGGTTTGAAGCTGTTTCACTCTGTAGTTCAGGCTGGTATGGAATTTACTATCCCTGACCCCCCACCCTTACTGGAACTATGGGAATGAGCCATCATGTCTGGAGTTCCCAAGAATTTAGGAGGTAAGGGTTTTCCTTTTTTCTTTGGTTTTTCAAGACAGGATTGCTTTGTGGCTTTGGAGGCTGTCCTGGCACTCGCTCTAGACCAGGCTGGTGTCCATCTCACAGAGATTTGCCTGCCTCTGCCTCCCGAGTGCTGGGATTAAAGGCGTGGGCCACCACAGCCCAGCAGGAAGGTTTTTGTTTTGTTTGTTAGGAGTGTTCAAAGACAGGGTTTCTCTGTATTGTTTTGGAGGCTGTCCTGGAACTAGCTCTAATACACCAGGCTGGCCTTGAACTCAGAGATCCACCTGCCTCTGCCTCCCCAGTGCTGGGATTAAATGCATGCACCAGCAATTGGTATTTTGGGCTGGGTGTAGAGGGGGTTCTCCAGCATAAGTGGTGACAAACATCTGATGAGTCTATCCCCATATTTATTTGGTTTTCCAAGACAGGGTTCTCTGTAGTCCTGACTGGCCTGGAACTCACTTTGCAGACCAGGTTGGCCTTGAACTCAAGAAATCTGTGTCCACCTCTGATTGCTGGGATTAAAGGTGTGTTTACCACACCCAGCCCAGTGCTCCCAATCCCCAAACCACCTCTCCAGACAAGTCTTTTTTATTTCTTGTGACAGGGTTTCTCTGTGTAGCCCTGGCCATCCAGGAACTCAACTCGCTCAAGAGATCTGCCTGCCTCTGCCTCCCTGGTGCTGGGATTAAAGGCCTGTGATACCATGTCTGACCATTAAAGATAGGGTCTAATCTGAATTTGAAGCTTACTGATTTGGCTAACTGGCTGGCTGGCCTGTAAGCTCCAGGATGTCCCTGGCTCTGCCTGGCTGGTGGGCCTTGACTACTGATGCCGTGCTATGCCCAGCTGCTTTCCGTGGTGCTGGAAGCTGAACTCAGGTGGTCATGCTTGGGCAAGTGCTCTACCACGGGTGCTCGCTATCTCCCACACCCCAGCCACATTCGGAACCCATTTTTATTTGTGTGTGTGTGTGTGTGTGTGTGTGTGTGTGTGTATGTGCGCGCGTGCTAAACCCCTCGGCTTCCAAGCACAAAGACTTCATTGCAGTCTGTGTAGCCCTGTGGAGAAAGCACATTCGGTTCAAGAAAGTCAAGTCGGTCTGAGGGTGGAGGGACTGGTTCTTTATTTCAAAATGTCGCTTATTGATATTCAGTATCAAAACAGTTGCACTATGGGGTTCTTTCTCCCAACAGAGGGGAGTACAAATAAGCCAGTAAGCTGTAGCGTGTCCACCTAACAGGCCTCGAAGAGACTGCCTGACATGGCAAATTGGGTGTGGACACTCAAGAGATCAGCACACCACCAGCCCACAGACTGCAAAGAATTCTCACAGCCACTGGGTTGACCAAGATAACCCAAGCCCCAAAAGCAAAATTTCAAAATAATATAAAATTTAAAGAGTTTTCTTTACATAAGCTATTCAAGATTTCTCCAGCACTGGCTGATACAAAGCACAATGAGATGGCACTTTAGAGACAGCAGCTTCAGGAAAGGGCGATGAGATGACTTCCATGTGGCTAAATCAATGGCACAAACATAATTTTCCTTTCCTTTCTCCTAGGGGGTGTGGGGGTGGGTGGGGAGGGCGACAATAAGTGGTCACCTCCATGCTAAGGGGCAACATGGTCCACTGTGTGAGCAGTTAGGAATGGGGTAGAAATGAGACAAGCTTGGTCTCGGGCTGGGCCACACAGTAACACGCTTGCCTAACATGCACATGGCCCTGGGAGGTGGGGGTGTCTCAGACGGCTCACCGTCTTATTTGGTCACATCTGATGGAAAAAGAAAAAAATAAAAAAGGTTAAAGTTATTCAAAGATATCAAAGCTGAAAACCTTCACAGCCCGGCAGAGTATTTTGTTTTTGGCTAACTTCCTAGAATCCGTTGTTTGGCTAGGACTTGGTGAGGAGAACTGAGGTTTCCCACAGGGGAGCCTGCCTGGGCTCTGCTGGCTGTCAGCGAGGCAGGCCCAGTCCTGTGTTCCTCTATGGAGACAGCAGTGTCCTTAGGCTGAAATGTCACCTTTCAGCAGTGACTAGGAAGTGGGTTGCTGCTCCAAGCTGTGGAAGTGCTTGGGATGTTACAAATGGTTGCTAAGACAGAAAGTAATCACAATGTACATATCACAAGTGTGCTGAAGACACTGCATTGTGCTCACATTCCCTTAAATATTGTTCCCAAACGTGCTCAGCCCCTCCAGCTGGAAACTCTGGGAAGAGGCTGACACAGTTTTATGAAAAAGACGTGAGGGGGTAGAGGGGGTGGCAGGAGGGGAAAGCAGCCTTCAGTTAAAAAGATCAGCCCTCAGTTTCAAGGTCAGCTTCAGGCAGGCTGGCCTCAGGCGGAGTCAGGGTCAGAGGGAGGAGCGGCCGCGGGGCAGGGACTGGGGGTGCTCTACATCTCGTTCAGGTCCAGCAGGGTCTGGTCCAGCATCCTTTGTGTACAGAGGTGCTCCTCTTTGGTGCACTTCAGCTTATCTAGTGGGAACAGAGAGGAATTACAGAAGTCAGTTCAAGCTCTCCCCATTCTAAGACTTGCTCCAGTGGCTATAAAAGGAAGCCATTGCATCCCTGGGTTCTATGGGGACTCACTCTGGCTTATCCCACAGGCAACTTGGAGGCATTAAACTGAAAAGGCTTGGACTGAAAGCACAAGGCACCCACTCTTCACTCTGCCTACAGGTCAGTGTCTACTTGAAATGCCACACTAGTGTGAGCACTGCAGGTAAGGACAAACACCAATACCTAGTAAAAAACAAGGAAGATCCTCCTGCAGTAGGTACTTTCTCCACAGTGGGAGACAGGGGTCCTCAGGTCTAAGTCAAGAAGAGTACTACCCAGACATATTCTTGTAAGCAAAGCCCATGGAGATTTCAGCAGAGGCAACACCAGAGCGGGCCCAGGACAGTGACTTACAACTAAACATAGACGCAGCAAGAAGGAAAATTATGAGGAAGAAAGCAGTGGTAAGACACCAAGCACTTCATCTATTTAGAAAGTAAACTATGGAGCTTCAGGAAGGGAGGAAAACCAGACCCATTTTCACGCCACACACCCTTCTTTCCCATCCCTGTTTCCCCCCAGTCAGAAGAGCCCACACCTGGGCCTGAAGATGAAGCAGTTACAACATCTTGTCAAGTCAGTCTTTTTATTGTTAGAAAACATCCATGCAAAAGTGCAAACCCTACAGTCTGTGCACAGGTGACAGGCTGCAGCTAACATTCCCCAAAGTCCCCCACTAAGTCCCTCAGGCCCCTTTCTTCATCATTCACAATAGCTCCTAAAATAGAAATAGCCACTGCAACTTCATGGGGGCTGTCAGGAAATGAACAGCATTCTAACTGCCCTCATTAAAAAGCAACTTGCTTAGGGCAAAGCAGTAACTTTTTAAAAGACAATCAGCTTTTTGCTGGGGTCCAGGTCAGTGGTGTGGGTTTACTGGGCATCAGGGAGCCCTGCCCATCAGTCACACAGATCATGCAGCGTTAGCTTCAGCTCATTAGAAAGCAGGCGGTTTCGCTCAAGTTGGCTGTAGAGACGCTCTGCAGCAGTAACAGAGAGAGGGGAAGAGGAGAAGAGAGACAGGAGGAGAGAGAAATAAGGGGAGGTTAGTAAAGGCAGAGACAAACGTCTTTCAACTAGCTGGTCTATGTAACATGCACTGTGTGGCTGGAGAGTACCGGGACTCAGAGCAAAAGAGTCAGCCAGTAGGTGGAAAGACCAACAGAGGGATACAGTAAGAGCATCAGCTGTAGGACCATTATAAATGTGAAAGAACACGTCCTTCACATTATTTGAACCCTGAGCTAAGAGTCACAAGGCAGATATAGCCAGCTTAGAAAGAGCCATCCAGCCATCAGGGATTGGAAAAAACAAAGGGAACACCTCCACCTTTTCCCCTATAAAAGGATTCAATACAACACCATGCATAACTATCTCTCCTGCTCAATCTCTCACTTTCCAATGCTTCTCACTGTAGTGTTACCTAACAGACACATCCTAACGTCTTCCCCAACTCATGGTCAGGTTCCCTTTATACAAGAAACTCAACCTATTAGGGTCAGCAGTATATTCAACAGCCAAAAGCCAATTATAACTATTATGGGAACCCATAGAAACTGAACATCAGGGAACTGTTGGTCCCCAGACTGATAGCTGGGATACCAGCATGGGACTGATCCAGAACCCAGGAACATGGGTTTCTGTGAGGAAACCTCGGAAATCTACGGGACCTCCTGTAGTAGTTCAGTAATTATCCCTCGCATAAGTGTGGACTTTGGGAGCCCATTCCACATAGAGGAATACTCCCTGAGCCAACACACATGGGGGTGGGCCTAGGCCTTATCCCAAAGGATATGATAGACTCTGATGACCCCTCCCCCATGGAAGGCCTCACCATCCAGGGGGAGCAGAAAGGATACGTGATAGGTAGGGTTTTATTTGGGGAGGGGGAAGGTGGGGGAGGAGAGGAGGGAGAGGGAACTGGGATTGTCATGTAAAACAATGGGGGGTGGAAAAAAGGCTCAGCGGTTCAGAGCACTGGTTGCTCTTCCAAAGGACCTGGGTTCAGTTCCCAGTACCTGAATGGTAGCTCACAACCACCTGGAACTCCAATTCCAGGGAATGCAACACCCTCTCTGGACTCCATAGGCACCAGGTATGCATGTGGTGCACATACATACAGGCAGACAGGCAAAACACCACCACAAAATAATAAAATACAATTAAGAATAATTATGTTGTCTCTTTGCCAAGGGTGGTCACAGCTTCCAATTCAAGCCAGTAAGGAGGGGAAGCTGACGCTTTGCTTTGAATACAAACGTGAGACCCAGTTATAAATTTCAATCTTAAAAAAAAAAAAAAACAAAAAAAAAAAAACAAAAAAAAAAACCTAGTTTCATAGGGTACAGCTACTCATCAGTGGCTGGATTCTTTAGGTATAAAAATAATCTCATTTCTCCAAGGAGCAGATGGGAAGAGGGGGAGTGGGGGTAGCAGGAGGAGAGGAAGGAGGGGGAACTGGGATTTGAAGGTAAAAACTTAATAATAAAAAAATCTTGCCGGGCACTGGTGGTGCATGCCTTTAATCCCAGCACTCCGGAAGCAGAGGCAGGTGGATCACTGTGAGTTGGAGGCCAGCCTCGTCTCCAGAGCGAGTGCCTGGACAACTTCCAAAGGCACACAGAGAAACCTTGTCTCGAAAAACAAAAAAAACAAAACAAACAAACAAACAAAAAACAAAATACAAACAAACAAAAAAAACAACTCATGCTACTATGTTTTTATCTTATAACCTAAAACATTTCTTAGGTATGCATTTAATTAGTGCTCAGGTCCACTGCCTTTTCCACTTGGAGCACATCTTAAGGACTATGAAAGTTCCCCACACCCCTAAGGAGATAGGATTTTGCTCCGTTGCTCTGGCTCACTGGCTCATCTCCACCTTGATCTTGTAGCTGTGGCCTCCCAAATGACTGGGAATATTGGTGTGTACAACTCCACCTAGCTGTAGATACATCTTAAGCAAACGTTAACAAAGTTTAGAAATAGGAAAGCTAAATTATTCTTGGTCCAGCCCTACTATCAGCCTCTGAAGTTCACCTTATTTTCTTTATTTTTCCATGGTAAGGTCTCACTATGTAGCTCTGGCTGTCCTGGAACTCACCATATAGAACACAGATCTGCCTGCCTTCTCCCTCCTATTTTGAATATTTGAATGAATCATAATATGAACATCTGATATACAGGATACTGGATAGGAAGTCCTCAAAGGGGTCATGACCCACAAGTTGAGGACCACAGTACCATGGCAAGGAGTATGGCAGCAGGCAGACAGTGTTAGGACTAAAGGTGGACAACACCACACCTGGTATCAGCGTGAGACAAGGTCTTACTTATATACAGGCCTTGTTCTCTCTTGCTAGGACTCATTATAGGGACAAATTACCTAGCTAAAGCAGTCTTTATTAGTTAGTTGCACTGTGCCTCCTCTCTCCCAGGAAAACATGTGGAAATGAGTACTGGCATGTTTCAGGGGGTGTGTTTTTCTAAGACTATATATCTCAGTGCACTCCTCCTCCCCCTGCCTTCCAAGTGCTTTCATTATAGATGTGTGCCTCTATGCCTGGCTAGAGATGGGTTTTGACTGTCAGTGACCAGAAGGTTCTACAGGTGTGTACTGGCCAGAGGGCAGCAATATGCTAATGTACATAATGTACAGAATCTTTCTGTGTGTACAATCACCCTTATCACAATTGGATTAGTCAAGTCAATAAGCTCCAAGAGGCTTGGTACTGGGCCTGTTTGACTCAGGAGTCTCAGCTCTCAATTCTCAAGCTGCTTTCCTATGGATAGTTCCCATCCCTATCCAACTTAGAGTCCCATGCCCATCTTGGGAAAGAAAGGTAGTCCCCACAAGTTGTCCTCTGAACTCTGTAACTCTGTATCTCCATACGTGTGTGTGTGTGTGTGTGTGTGTGTGTGTGTGTGTGTGTATCAGGTCATGCAAGCGGCACCCACATTCACACAATAAATATAATTAAAAAAGAATCCCAAGGAGCTGCAGTGCTATTCATATGAAGGAACTCCACTGCTAAGTGACAAGGGTCTAAGCACATTTGTTCCTCACCATGACAATGGTAACATGGGAAGTATAAACTTGCTCATCACTGCCTAAGGGGCCCCACCCCCACAAGAACCAGGATGACTTCGTGAAGACACAAGATTTCAAAAGAAAGGAACCAACCTAGCAGCACATAGTGTTTCAAACTTCACAAAGATACTTTCACTTTTCTTATAGAAAGAGACCTGCCAACGGGGTAAAGTAGAAACTACCAGAAAGAAAAAAAAGAGAAGCTCTTCCTTTTTCTCAGTCTCCCCACTGTTGTTAGCTCATTCTTTTTTTAAAATGGTGCTAGGGGTTGATTTGGGATCCTGAGAAGCATACACTAGGCAGACAATCATATATATTTCACCCCAGCCTGCTAGAGACAGGGTCTTACCAAATTCTCAGCCTGGTCTTCCAACTCCTTCCCTATACTAAACGGCTATAAGTTCTGAGCAATGGTCATGAGAACTTACTTACATTGAAATGAATTTTATTCAGTTAAAACAAATAAAACTGGCCGGGCGGTAGTGATACACACTTTTAATGCCAGCACTCGGGAGGCAGAGGCAGGCGGATCTCTGTGAGTTCAAGACAAGCCTGCCTGGTCTACAAGAGCTAGTTCCAGGTCAACCTGCCTCGAAACAGCCCCCTCCCAATGAATAAATAAATAAAACTGGAATTCTATCTAACCTAGCCACAAGACATGTTTAACAGCCACAGAAAGCAACTGACTATCGTACCGGACACCAGTGCCCAAATCTTACTGGGTCCAACCACTTTAAAGTGTATTTATATTTATTGCTCCATCTCTTAAATATGTTATTTCCCTCCCCTTGACCACAATGCTCATACCATACCCTCAAATTACTAAAACAGTGAATGCCCATCTTAGTTGCCATCCATCTCCGCCTATCTGGTGGGGTTAAGAACCATCAGCCCGAGCCACTCTTCTGGGCCCCCAAAGAAGTTCGTTTGGCTTCCTGCCCAACTAAGCTTCTTTTTGTGTGTGGGTGGGGGGTTGAGACATGGTTTCTATGTGTAGCCCTGGCTATCCTGGAACTCTCTGTAGACTGGCCAAGCCTTTCTCTTTACATTTAATCTTTTTTACTCCTGCAGTTATTGACTGTTGTTTTCTGTTTTGCTTTTTTGTATGTGTGTGAGACAGGGTCTCTTATGTAGCCCTTGCTGTCCTTGAACTCACAGGATTGGCCTGTGTCTGCCCTGAAGGTTGGGATTAAAGGCGTGTGCCACCATGGCTGGGGCCTGTAAATATTCTTTATGGTTCTAAGGTGTTTATGTTAAACTGCTTGCACTCCCTTTGGATTCCAAAATTTCTTCTATCAACGCCTCCCTTCCAGCCTCAGGGTCTTGCCCTCCCCTGCACACCTGTTTCTTGACACATGCTTCTCTCCCCAGTCACCTCCTCACACCACACCCAGTAACTGGACTTCACTTGCAGACACATACTTGTCAGGACCTTAAGTGTCCACCTCACCAGGCATGGCTGTACACGCCTGTAAGCCAGCACTTTGGGAGCAGAGGTGAGTGGGCTACAAAGTGAGACGCTAGATCAGAAAACTAAAACTGATGAATAAAAAGGTCCACACCTTCAGTGCCATCTTCCTTCTATCACTACTCTAGCACAAGCCCCAACTGCTCTCCAGAAGTCTGCAAGCTAACCTATTATTTCCCAAAGCATTGCATATTCATGGCTAGCAGTGTGTGCACTCACAGTATACCTTTGTGAACTTCATATAAAACATTTTGAAAATGAGAGTGAATTTGAAAAGAACAAAGGCAACAACAGGCCAATATGACAGCTACCATAGAAAATGTAAATGCCTGCAACTTGGGGTTGGCACATTTTCTTAATGTGTTTGAACTTCAATACACACACAACACAATACACTTTTTCTTTTTCTTTTCTTTCTTTTTTTTTTAATTTTATTTTATTTTTCAAGACAGGGTTTCTCTGTATAACAGCCCTGGCTGTACTAAAACTCACTTTGTAGACTAGGCTGGCCTTGAACTCACAGAGATCCAACTTCCTCTGCTGGGATTAAAGTCATGTGCCACCACAGCTTGGCTGGTATTTGTTTTAAAGACAGAATCTTTTTTTTTCCTTTTTTTAGGGGGGTGGGAGTATTTCGAGACAGGGTTTCTCTGTGGCTTTGGAGGCTGTCCTGGAACTAGCTCTTGTAGTTGGTCTCAAACTCACAGAGATCCACCTGCCTCTGATCCAGAATTCTGGGATTAAAGGCGTGCACCACCATCACCCGGCTTCAAGACAGATCTTACTATACTGGTTGGCCCAGAACTCAGCATATAGACTGGCCTGGCCTTGCATTTAGAGATCTACCTGCTAGGATTAAAGGTATATACCTCCAAACCTCGCCTTGTTTATTTTTCATTCAGGGTCTTATTATTTTGTGTGTGTGTGTTTTCACTCCAGTCCCTCTAATAGTCTTTTTTTTTTTTTTTTTTTTTTTTTGAGATAGGGTTTCTCTGTGTACCCTTGGCTGTCCTGGAACTCATTCTGTAGACCCGCTGGCCTTGAACTAGCAGAGATCTGCCTCCGGAATGCTGCGATTACAGGCTTGCCCACCACACCCAGATACAACAATCTTCTTTTAGCTGTCAGGTGAACTCTTCTTAGGTGGGAGGTGGTCATATCATAGCACATACTTGTTCATGAACTACAGTGGCACTTCCATCACTCATCAAACAGAAACACAGCTTCCCAGCAGCACTTTTAGCAAGTGTCCCTTATCCCAAATCTACCTTTGCAGCAATTGTATTTTTCCCTAGCTTGGTTTTTGTTTTTTTTAAAAACTTGTTTCTACTCATTAAAAGCCAATCCTGAGGCTGGTGATGTAGCTTGGTGTGTTCAGAGTTCTGTACCACCAAACAAACACAGTGAACAAATCTTATCTAAAGCTGGTACAGTAGTGGTACGTGTCTTGGGAGGCAGAGGCAGAACTGCCATAAGCTCGAGAACAGTTTGGATACATACTGAGTTCTAGGACAGCTTGGGCTAATGCAAAAGCCATTTCAAAGCAAAAACGAGCTTTAAAAAAAAAATCCAATTTGGGAGCCATCATGAAATCAGTTCCCCTCCCACTTAGCTCCCCAAACTTTCCCATCTGCAGTCCACCCAGCAGCTTTGACTTTGGGCTTGTCCTTTCCTCTTACAAGTTTCAGAGCAACCTGAGCTTGCAGACAGTTCCTTATCTGTATTAATCTGTTTATTGGCAAGGCATCTAGACATCAGCACCTGCTAAATACTCCAACCCCTACCTCAGTCTCAATGGCTATGGGACAGGAAGAGATATTGCAGGTAAAGGAATCTGATTTGCTAGAGACTCAAGACTAGGGAACACTTCTCTACCAAGTTATCTTTCCTTTCTCTTCCTCCCCTTCCTTCTTTCATTGTGGTACTGGGGTTCAAACTCAGAACCTTGTGCACATTACACACAGTGTTCTCCCACTGTATTACATCAATAGCCCTGGGCACTGAAAGAAAAAGCAAGTTTCAAATACATTGATGAGAAACGAAAACACTAAGCTATATCAAATTTATCGCTTTATCAACTGGAACAGTTCTGAAATGCTGATACTTAGTTCTACAATATGTATCCAGAGGAATTTCACTAGTAGAAATTAATAGTAAGTCATTACCCTCTTGTGCACATGACTGGCTGTTTTCATTTTTCCAACCATCTACTGTGTGTCTTAATGATAACCCATTAGAAAACCAAGTTGAACAAATGGCAGCAGCCTCAAATAAGAGTGTTTAAAGATGAAAGGCGCATCCACTGAGAATTCAACATTATGTTACATGTTTTTCTGCGACTTGGGATGATAGAATTATTTAACTGTAAGAAAGGACCACACAGGCCCAGTGTGCTATGAGGTGTCATGTCTGAATCTTTGGCAAAAGAGTAGCAATATTAGGAAACAGTTCAATGGTCTGCTGACCTTACTGTATGGGAAAGGGGTCTAAGGAAATTAAAACATCCCAGGTAGACTAGTTAACAACTTGGAAGTAAAAAAAAAACAAAAACAACTTGGAAGTAAAAGACTTAAGATAGTCTTAAAGAGTAACACTAGACTTTCTAACATGAGGAGCCTTTCCTAGTTAACCACTCTGACAAGACTCCAATCATCAAGTTTAAATGTCAAGAAAACACACACACAAAAGTAGCTTTGATAATACATAAATCAGAAGGGGACAGCCTAACACAGCTGTCCCCACATCACACCGGCAGGGCTCCTTCTTAACAGCTTTGTCAATAACAAATGCAGGAGGGCATGAGGCTTCTGGCAGCTTAACAATTTAATTTGGGATGGGGGTGAAAGCAAATATGTAAATTGCTTTGTACCCCCCACCCCCAGCCCTAAGGCTTTGGGAACCAGCCAGGCTGACCCAAAAGGAATCCAGAGCGAGTGGGGTGTTGGGTTCCCCAAGGAAAGGGGGTAGATCCAGACCAGAGCAGAAACGGTGACAGTTTATCTGTATGGAAAAGGACACTCCAGGTGAGAAGGGCTGGCTCAGCTGAGGCAGCAGCTTGGGAAAGGGAAAAGGGGAAAGAGTAGCAGGAGAACCAGACACTTCAGGCTATAACATTCAGCTACTTTGGGGTTAGTGGGCAGAAGAGGCAGATTAGCATTATAGCTCAGATAAAGTACCCCAAAAACTTTTGGTGCTGTTCACTGGTTGGCTTGCTTAGGGACTCAGCTCAATTCTTAAAACTGGCCGCTTCTCATCCTGGGAATGCCCCATTAGCACAAACTTCAGGGCACAAAATCAGGATGCATGTATGTGTTCTTGTTTGTTTTTTGAGACAGGGCCTCTCTACATAACCCTGGCTGTCCTGGAACTCAGAAATCCACCTATGACAGGATTAAAGGCTTGCACCACCATGTCCATTGCAGTTTGCTTTTGAGACCCTGTCTTGCCACGCAACATTAGCTGGCCTTGAACCTTTGTCAATCCTTCTGCCTTAGCATCTAGACTGCCATGTGCCACCATGCCTAGCATTGAGAAACAAAAGTGAAAACTTAGTGCAAACTTAGTGCTGGGCACAATGGCACAGGCTGTAATCTTGGCGGTTGAGGATAAGTAGGAGAATGTGGAGTTTGAAGTCAACATGGCTTACAGAATTAGATCCTGTTAAAACTAGATGGGAGAATGAGAGAGAGAATACAAATTACATCCAAGATTAAAAGCCTCCCCAGGTTCTGCCAAACAAATAACCAGCACCAATGTTTTTAAGTGGATAGAGGATGTGATTCAAGGACAAAACCCAAGCACACTCTGCACCCTCACCCAGAGCCAGGAACCCAACCCCACACTGCTGCCTGATAGTTACATAGAGGTCATGTCATTGAGGGCGTGGTCCAGCTCGTCGCTAATGGCCTTGTACTTCAGTTTCTGGGCATAGAGCTCGTCTGGACAGGCACAGGAACCATAAGGATGATGGAGGGAATAGAGTGAAAGGTATCAGAGGCAGATGGAGAGAGGGAATCATTAGAAAATAGGAAAAATGTGACTGTGGGTCTAACACCAGGAAGGAAAAAAACAAAAACAGAACTATTCTGGCAGCAGTGACTGGTCACTTTCAATCTATTTTCCCCAATGGCCAAGTCAATGCAGCAAGAACTGAGAATCTGAGCACGTGGCAACTACTACAGACACCCAAAGGACACTATTCCCATCCAATTCTGAACCAGTGATAACACTTGAGGAAGACAGAAAAGGGAGAAAGCACACATGCATAGGACACTTCTGTTTACTCAATGTGATCATTATCCATGGGCCCTTTGTGCTACAGTCTGCCTCCCCAAGCCCTCCCAAAGAACAGTCAGTTACCAAGAACACATCCAGGGAGTTCTCAAAGCAAAAGACTTGTTTCTTTGGTAAGGTGGATGGACACAGCTGCCAAACTTCAAGAACAAGAAACCCTGACATCATTCAGCTGTGAGATTGATTATTATCTCCTGGAAGATGTCACACAACTTGAGTGATAAAAAGAACTATATAAAGTGGCCATATGATGACACACAGAACTTCACTATCTCCTAAAAAAAAATTATAGCTTTTGCTTCCATTTCAACTCAGACACAAGATTTAAGACCACTAAATTGGAGATGAATACAGCCATTACATCTTTTCAAAGGAAAGATGTTAGATTCCAGAAATAAGTAGAGTTGTATTAAAGGAAAAGATTACAAAAAATCAACTCTAGAGTTTGACCTACTTTGCCTAGCTATTATAACAGGACAGGACACATCACATATTCCAAGTCACTACCAACTCCCTTTGACGAAGGGAGAAAAGGCTCAAGATTCATGGGCAAGGCCTTCCCCTCTCTCGATCCCCCGTCTTGCTCCATACCTTCCAAGTCATCGATGGTCTTTTCCAGTTTGGCTACCGATCTTTCAGCAAACTCGGCACGAGTCTCTGCCTGAGGAAAGAGAAGACCAACCAATCAGAATAAAAGATGGTCATTTCTTCCCCTCACACTTGTAGGCCATTGAGAACCAAGGCCAGCAAGGCTAATTATTAATTCTGACACCATCTTCCCTCAGCTCACCTCCTTGAGTTTGTCAGTGAGAATCTTTATCTCCTCTTCATACTTGTCTTCTTTTTGAGAATACTGTGAAGAGAAGTAGAGCACAAATGTCAAAGTAGAAATTGGCCACACAGACAACAGCCATGGTAGTCTTACATGGCTCACAGACACTCTCCTAGATTTGATGTACTAAATGGTCCAGGACTAAAAGCAAGGACCAGTTTTTGACAAAGGGTCTCAAGACCCAACCATTTCCACATATAAAACATTCAGAGTAAACTCCGCCAGGACCTCTCTTTTGTTAACAGACCTAAACTTTGCTCTTACTCCTATCATCCCAAAGATGTTTTGCCTTTTTCCAACTTAACCAGGAGGAACCCAGAGTTAAAACACTCCCTGGTGATGGTGAATAGCAATCACCTATCTTGACTGGTAGGTGTGAGAGCTGGTGCTCTGCTGACCCCACCTGACTGTTTACAAGTCCATACAGCCCCTTATAACTGCCGGAGGAGCACATGACTCCAGGCTCTGGAGACCATGAAGTTATTTGAACCTAAGCAGTGGAGGTAGATAGGAATTAGCATTAAACCTACAATCTGGGTGGACAGAGATAGGGAGGAAGAGGACGCTTCACTGGCTTATAAGGAATAGGTGTGTCTAGTCTTTCACAAAGGGCAGGGCTAGGCCCAGGCCCCAAAGCCTGTCACCTTCACAAACCAGCCCTACCTTCTCCGCCTGAGCCTCAAGAGACTTGAGGTTGTTGGTGACATTCTTCAGCTCCTCCTCCAGCTCAGAACACTTACTGTGAATATTTTAAATACCGAAGGAGAGGAAAGGGGAAGAGGAAGAAATAAAAAAAAAGGAGAGAGACACACAGATGTGAATTGAACCTATGTGTAGAGAGAGCTGGACTGCACATCAGGGAAGAAAGGCTTCTGGGTAACCTGAACAAGCATCAACCCTCCCCCTCTACCACAGAACATGTGTGCAAGGAGCTGGACCTCCTGCGCTCAGAACGTTTGGCTCTAATAAAGAAAGAACACTTGAGAGAAATCACTCACTACCAGGAACAAGTTACAACTGCTATTTGGGGGTGGAGGTGGGGACGGATGCCCAACCCAAACGACCCCCCCAAATCGCCCAAGGGAGGCAGAGACCCTTTGGGGGAGGCAGTGGAGCGACTAGGAAAGAGATGAGAGATGCAAGTAAGTGGAAAGGAATGGAGCATTCCATGAAGAGACGAGAAAGCACTCAACACATCAACTGGTGGAGGGGAGGCAGCTGCAAAACAAAGTCAAACTCAAAAACCGTAGCACAGGCACGGACCCTCTCCGTGGGCGTAATGGTTAGTACCTTTTCTTCAGCAGCACTCAGACACTTCAGGTTCTGGTCCATCAGTCTGATCTGCTCATCCATCTCTCGGCAACGGCTGTTAGTGACAGTCACGGGAATGGCACAAGCCAGGTTGTGGGGAAAAGGTTAAAAAAGGAACAGCAAGAAAACAAGCCGCAAAATGGGGTGTGGGAGCGGGTAAAAATAAACAAACAAACGGGGAGAAAACACCATCATGGTCATGATATGTCATGTCTGGGGGGTGGGGATGCAAGGCAAGCACATACACATACTCATTCATGCTGACTTTGTTACACAAGGCCAAGCCAGTACCAATGGGCAGCAGGTGATTTCTCTAAAGCCTTTGCTCTCAAGTTCCCAGGCAGAATGGCAAAGTGGTAAAAACAGAGACCAGGTCTGAAGTCAGTACAGACCAAGGAGGAAGAGATTCCAGGTGGAAGGACCCAACAGGATCTTCCTACTAGCTATATGCCATATTAGTCTCGACCTTCCCTCAATTTGAGAATCTTCCCAAGAATAAGCAAGCCTTGTTATCTGTTACTAGTTAAGGTAAGAGAAAGCCCAAAGCCATTCTTAGAGACTAAAAGCACTAGCCGTCTAACCACCCTCCCAGGCCTGTTTAACAAGGTCGAAGGAATGCTAGTTTACTCGAATTAGTGCCCAAGCAGGCAGGACGGTCTGACAAGATCTGGAGACAAAATACTCACGACTCTGCCAGCTCGGCTCGTTCCTCCGTGCGTTCCAAGTCTCCTTCAATAATCACCAACTTACGAGCCACCTATAAGAAACGACCTTGGTAGAGCTCAAGCAAGCATCGGGAATACCCTTTCAAGACTGTCTTTGCAGAGCCAGTGTGTCACTGCAGAGGTGACTCACCTCTTCATACTTCCTATCTGCCTCTTCTGCAATGTGCTTGGCTTCCTTTAGCTGGATTTCCTGGAGTTCCATCTTTTCCTCATCTTTTAGAGCTCGGTTTTCAATCACCTTCATTCCTCTGCCAGAAACAGGATGAATAAGCAATGACACTCTGAGGTGTCTGGCCAGCTCCATCTCAAGGACTCAAAACCATGCCCTTTAGAGACCACTCTTGTTTGCCACACAAATGGAAATTCAATAGCACTTGTGTGCCTGTACCGTTTAATTTTAAACTTTCTCTTAGGCCAGGCAGTGGTGTTGCAAGTCTTTAATCCCAGCACTTGGGAGGCAGAGGCAGGCGGATCTCTGTGAGTTCCAGGCCAGCCTCATCTATAGAGTGAGTTCCAGGACAGCTAGAGCTACACAGAGAAATCCTGTCTCCAAAAACAAAATAAAAATAAACAAACAAACAATAAAACCCTTTTTTTGGTTTTGGAGACAGGGTTTCTTTGTGTAGTCCTGGCTTTATTTATTTATTTATTTATTTATTTATTTATTTATTTATTTATCACATATAGTGTTCTGCCTGTGTGCCAGAAGAGGGCACCAGATTGAATTGTAGATGGTTGTGAGCCACCGTGTGGTTGCTGGGAACTGAACTCAGGACCCCTGAAAGAGCAGTTAGTGCTCTTAATCTCTGAGCCATCTCTCCAGCCCGAGTCCTGGCCGTTCTTGAGCTCAGAGAAAAGCCTACCTCTGCTCCCAAGTGCTGAGATTAAAGGTGTGAACCACCACTGCCCAGCTAAAAACGTTTTTCTTATGAAACACTTTGGGCTAGGGGTAGGACCTTAACAATAAAGCAGGGGCCTAGTATGTGCAAGGTCTCAGTTCAATTCATGAAGGACAAATACCAGTAATATACAAATCACTACCATTTAAAAAGTAGACCTGGGAGCTAGGAAGTAGAGGATGGTAGCATATAAGGTAGATGCTGGGTTCAATATGCAAAAACAAAAACAAATCTAGAACAGGATGTGGTAGCACAGGCCTGTAATCCCAGCACTTGGAAAGTGGAGGCAGGAGGATTAAGAGTTCAAAGCTGTTCTGCGCTACATGAGACCAGGCCTCAAACAAAAGAAAAAAACAGATCTAGAGGGAAAGCTAGGCAGAGCCGCTATCATATCAACTATATTGTTTGGAGTGCTAGGGATGGACCCCAAAACAACTAAGGCACAGCAGGTAAGTGCCCTACCACTCAGCTACCTCACAGGCAGATGCTCTTAGAATTCACACTCCCCCATGTTCTCCATATACCTTTCACTCTCATCAGCAGCTTTTTCTGCTTCCTCTAGCTTCTGCAGGGCAGTGGCAAGGCGCTCCTGAGCACGGTCCAGCTCCTCTTCAACCAGCTGGATCCTACGGTTCAAGGAGGCCACCTCAGCTTCGGCCTTAAGTCAATGGGAAATGGAAACAGAGGCTTGGTGAAAAGAACCAGCATGACAGAAGGCTAGAATTCACCACGATGAAGAAGCCAGAGTCAAGTAATATAGATCCTGTCTGGGCTCAAATGCTTAAAAGATCTAACATACAGGAATATAAATCAATTTCTTCCTTTCCCATCTAAGAACTCCCATTTGTTATACATGAAATGGTTTGTGTGACCCAATCTCATGTGTCCAAAGCTGGCCTTGAACATGCCATATAGTACCTCCCAAGTGTTGGAATTACAGATATGTACCACAATGTCCAGTTTATGCTATGCTAAGGATGGACGCCAGGTCTCATGTATGCTAGACAGGCACTCTAATAACTGAGAAGTACCCTCAACCCTGAAAGAGTATTTTAAAATTCAGTTCCTTGTCCAGACAGTATTATCCTCTCTCTTCTGGACTCAGTTCAAATTCCAGAACCTGTAAGAGTCAAAAAAGCCAGGTGTGATGGCACACACCTTCAATCCCAGCATTTGAGAGGCAGAGGCAGGCAGGTGGGTCTGAGACCAGCCTGGTCTACATGGTGAGATCCTGTCTCAAAATAGCAGCCAGAGTTCCATAACCCCCTCCACCCCCCCACAAAAAAAAAAAACAGCCAAAAGACAGAGACAGATTTCTCTCTCTCTCTCTCTCTCTCTTTCTTTTTTTTTTTTTTGGTTTTTCGAGACAGGGTTTCTCTGTGTAGCTTTTGGAGCCTATCCTGGCACTTGCTCTGGAGACCAGGCTGGCCTCGAAATCACAGAGATCCTCCTGCCTCTGCCTCCCAAGTGCTGGGATTAAAGGTGTGTGCCACCAACGCCCGGCCAGATTTCTGTCTTATGTTCAATAAATTGATACCTGCTTCTAGCTTTCAACTCTAGATCTTCCTAAATGCTGGGATTACAGGCATACACCAGGAAACCAAAGAGCAATATTTCTATCTAGTATTTATATTATTTTATAGTATTTCTCTATATATTAATTTAGTTTGTAATTTAAGTTGTTAACCCTCTGGTCATCTTACCCTAACATATCAGGAAGATGACCAACTAATGCCTTCTGGAACAGTTTTCTTGATAGGAAAGCAAAAGAATGCAAGATTGGCATATTTGAGGCTGGAAAGATGGCTCAACAGGTGAAGGCACCAGATGCCAAGCCCGAGGACCTGAGTTCAATCCCCGGAACCCAACTGGTAGAGAGAACCAGTTTCCGTAAGTTGTCCTCTGACCTCCACACACTGTTGCATATGTTCACTCTTATTTGCCCACTTTAAAAAATAAAGACGGGGATACCTTTCCCCCACCCCACCCCTTAAGAAAGAACAGTATACTTTGATAACAGTATAAAAACAAACAAACAAAGCTAGTTCCCACCTACTGCTGCTCCTCTGGATGTCTGAACTACCTTCCATTGCTCTAAACTTTGTGGACTTCAGTACAATTCATGACAGCAATTTCCCTGGCTTTCACACACAACAAAGTACAAGCTCAAGTCCAAGTCACAAAGTGGCTATAAATGAAAAACAAACAAAAAGACAGAGTTTGTACATAGTCTATGGAAAGTGTCCTCAGAGGTGTGATGGTATATGGCTGTAATCCTAACACTCTGTAGCTTGAGACATAAAGACCATGAGTTCAAGGCTAACTTGGGCTACACAAGGAGAGTCTGTTTCAATAAGCAAACACACCAAAACACCCAAACATAAGATCTTTGCTGCACACAATGAAGTTCAGATGCTTATGCCCTGGTGAGCTCTAGCTCTCGTCTCAAGCCCAGACTGTGCCTGAATTCTATTACCCTGGTTTCCTCTTAACAAGCAAGGGTGGTGCAGCTGAGGAATCTGGGCCATTAGCCCTATGGGGAGGGTTATAACCGGACAAGACTCCTGCTAACAATCAGGATGGGAACAAAAATTTCCACATACAAACCCAGGCGATTCATTTCAAGAGACAGGGAAAGAAGGCAGGAGGCTAGGCTATAGGAACAGAAGACTGAGACGTCTACATAAATTGAAATTCCTAAGAAACCATTCAGAACGCCACAAAGACAAGCATTCTCTAATTCTGTCTTTTCTAGGAAAACAGATGTCCTACAGGACAGCACAGATTCACCCTTACAAACCCAACAAGGCCAAGCAGTCACAGGCAAGCTGGGCTATCAGGATGGGGCTATCAAACACACACACCATACAGTACATACCCCCCCTTTCAGATGCCTAAAACGAAAACATAAAAAAAAAAAAAAAAATGCAGCTGGAGGGCTGCAAAGATGGCTCAGCAGGTAAGAGCAGTTTTCTGTTGCAGAGAACTCGGGTTTGATTACCAGCGCCCACATGGTGGTTCACAACCATTCATAATTACAGTGCCTGAGGTGCTAATGCTCTCCCGACTCCCTCGGGCACCAGGCACACTCATGGCACACATACACACACGCAGGCAAAACATTCATACACATAAAAGAAATCTAAAAAAATTAAAGAAAAATGCAGCTGGATTTGTAGGAAGAATGTGGAAGTCTCCATCCAGCTCCTAGTTACTCAAACTGGAAAAAGATAACAGGCATTGGGGGCAGGGTACAGTTTCCATGGCAACAAGCTGACTCTGGTGCTTTCGCCTACAAAACAGCATTTACAATTGAATTCTTCACAAGGGTGAAAAAGGAGGAAGAGAAAATACATCTCAGTGTTCTTCTAAGGGCAAGTCTATGTTAAAACCAGAACCAAAGACTAAGGACTCCCCTGCAAAAGCTTCAGACAGACCACAGGGTGGCAGGGCCCAGGACAGGACGTTCTTCTTCCCCTACAGCAGATTAGTTCTCTTTATAAGGAAACAAAAGCCTGCAAAATCAAGATCTGATACTCCATTTAAAGGAATAAGGAAGACAACTTGACTTTTCCTTTAAGTCAGAGCTTACACACCACTCAGGTCAGCATCAAGTCCTTGGGTTATAGACTAGTCTGATCCTGAGAAACACTACACTGTATTTTTTTTTTTCAATTAATCCTAACTTTTACCTGAAATGCCCAGCAGAGCCTGCCTACCTCTCTGCAACTTGGAGGATACAGTGTGAGGTCTTCCATTCAACAGTAATAGGATTCTCCATTGTTCAGGAGGTAAAATCCTGGTATTGGAAAGTACAGCCATTTGGTCATATTAAAAGATGGCTGGCTGCTGGTGGCGCAGTCCTTTAATCCTAGCACTTGGAAGGCAGAGGAAGGTAGATCTCAGTGAGTTGGAGACCAGCCTAGCCTACAAAGTGAGTTTTGAGACAAAGAAACACTGTCTTGAAAAACCTAAAAAAAAAGGAAAAAGAAGATGGCTGAGACTGGGTAATAGTGGAAGCAGTCGCAGGCAGACTCTTAGAGTTCAAGACCAGCCTGGTCTACACAGAGAAACCAAACCAACCCCCCCCCAAAAAAAAAAAAAAAAAAAAAAAAAAAGGCTATGGCTATGACATAAGCTCAGCGTAGCTACATAGGGCTCCGTAGGTAAAGGTGATTGCCTCCCATTATACAAGCCTGACAATTTAGATTTGATCCCCTGGTGAGAGAAGAGTCCACAAAGTTGTCCTCTGAGCTCCACACATTTTACGAAATGCTGGCACACATACATTATATGCATACGAAATAATAGTAAGAGTTTTTTAAAAATGAAAAAAAAAAAAAAAAAAGCACACCACATCCCTTAAAGTAAAAAGCTGATGGGGAGCTGGTAGACAGAGGCAGAGCAGGGCCAAGGACAGAAGGGTAAATCTAAGTCTGGCACTCTGCCACACGGGGGTTTCTCTTTTTAGATAAAAGTCACAGGTGTAATTCAAAGTAGAGATAGTACTGGAAGAGTCGGGCCTCAGCTGAAAAAGGACTGCTGGGCACACTGTGTCCACACTCTAGCAGGAAGCTCCAGACTCTACTCTCTGGAAATCTCAATTTTACCAAGGGGGAAAGTTGGGAGTTATCGCGCCCCCCCCCCCAGAGTCAACAAAGGTGGAGTCTCAGCAGAGGCAAAGAGCTGTTTGCCTCTCCTGTAGGAGTGTGCTCTGAAACGGGGGCAGAGAAAGGCAAGCGGCAGCCAAACCAATCCAAACCTAAGCCAGAGAGGTCATAATGCTTGCTATGTGTCCACCAAACACAGGAACATACTGAACATACTGCCAAACACCCTAACCCCCTTCAGAGACCAAGAATCTGGGCTTCTGGCCAGAACCACTGTTCAAAGCCCACTCTCCTTCTCTCAACAGAACTTCCAATGTTTTGGACCAGGACAAAATGAAAAATACTACAGGAAACTTGGAAGAGAATTATTTTTTAAAGGGTAAGACGAACCACACATTTAAAAATGGTTATGATGGGGCTAAAGAGATGGCTCAGTAGATAGAGTACTGGCTGCTCTTGCAGACTTTGGTCTCTGGTACGTACATGGTGAGGTTGAGAGAATAAGTTCACAACAGACTGCAATTCCAGCTCCAAGGGTCAGATACACATATGTTCACATAAATAAAAATAGCAATAAAAAAGAAAGGTTATGCTGGCCAGTGGTAGCGCACGCCTTTAATGTCAGCCCTCAGGAGGCAGAGGCAGGCAGATCTCTGTGAGTTTGAGACCAGCCTAGTCAGTCTACAAGCGCTAGTTCCAGGACAGCCTCCAAAGCCACAGAGAAACCCTGTCTCAAAAAACAAACAAACAAACAAAAAAAACGGGGGTAGGGTGGGGTGTGGGGTGTGTGTGTGTGTGTGTGTTACAATGTAGACCCCAGCTTGGCAGTGAACACCAGAGACTATCCCAGAGGGTGCAGCAGAAGGATCACTTGGGTCCAACATTTCAAGGGCAGCCTGGCCAGGTAAAACCTTGTTATATGTGCATTTCTACTACTAATAATGAACGCATTTAAGTTTTATGTTGTCACCTGTTTTAGACAGGAGTCAAGGGTGTAGCTCAGTGGTAGAAAGCCGGGTAGCTTAAGGAGGTAGGTCTGCTCCTAGCACCTAAAAACCAAACACCAAAACCCTCTTACTAAACAAAGGAAAGTAAGATTTAGCATGGAGCTAAACTATAAAGTCTGTCTCCAGGCCAAGAATGGGAAGGACTGCCCTCAGAACTTGCCTCTTAGTTCTGGCCTCATCCATTTAACAAGGGCAGGTTAGGTGCCCATACACAGTAACCAGAAAAAGACCTGACTGCTTACTAATACAACAGCATAGGATCCCACCAGGTAGTGCTGGCAGGTGGAACCTGCAAAACCCACATTCCACAGTGGCAACAGAGATCAGGCAAGCCAAGCACCCCTCTTCCCACTGAGTCCTCAGTAGGGGCTAAAGGTCACAGGTGCAGAAAGTCAAAAGCTCAAAGAAGATACCAGTCTCATCAATATTTAACCACCACCCTACTTCCCCATTCTGAGGACTTCCTCAAGAGACTTCCGTGAAAAATGCACATTTGGTAAGCTCTGAACATGTGAAAACATTCACTCTGCTGCTTATCACCCCAGAGTCACCGTGCATAAAGAAGAGGAGCCAAATTTTCCTACAAGGAAAATGATCAAATTCTAGGACACACCCTACCTACCCTAAAGCCACTCCCAAGGTATCCATACTTAAATAATGGGCCCAAGACTGCAGCACATGGCAAATTCCTTCTACCATACTGTCCATTTTCCCCTTTTAAGACCTTCTTATCGCTAGAACAATCTCACTAGAATTGATACGGAGAAGTTGCTGGCATGCCAGGAGTGGCCAAGCAAGTCTGTAATTCCAGCACTTGGGAGGTTTAAGCAGGAGGTCTTCCCGGAATACAAAGGAACACCCAGTCTCAAAACAAACATATTGAACGCCTAGGAAAGGGTGATGGTGAAGACAAGCTCTGACATCTCCGTGCCCTGTAATAAAAGTATCTTAATGTTTAAACATCAAGGAGCTATGCTCTGCTTTTCCACACTCACCCCCTTTCAGCCTTCAAAAGTATTCTCAGCTACTCCCCAAACCAGCAGCAAAGAGGGAGACACCAAAAGTAAAGAACACCAATAAGACACAAGACTTATCTTCATTAGGTCTTTCACAAGAATCCATTCATCCCACCAGCCGTTGAACAAAAACCATTGTACAGGACAAGTGAGAAAGCAGCCCCTCCCCCAAATCATCATTGCCACTCAATTAATCTGTTTCCGTCCTCCACAGAGTCCAGATCAATCAGCAACCTTCAGATTGACCTGGCATTTGACTCTGTTATACACCCCCTTATCAGCCTTGCTTAGGAGAAATGGTCTCCGTAAATCAAATTTGCACTGCTCACATTTCAGGCCTGACTCTGGCAGAAGTTTCTGCCTTCCAGGTCACGATGGGCGGGCCAGGAGGAGTATCATCTCCTCTCCCACCTCACAACGACTGAGGGGCGGGAGTACCAGTTAGTTACAAAAGGTCCCCAAGCTCGAGGACGGGAGGTGGTGCTGGGGCCTTAAGCTCCGCCAGTGAGGGAGGGAACCGCGCTTCCTCTCAGCCAACTGCTGGCTCATTTCCTGAGCAGGAGGAGGGAGCGGAAAAGCTGCCAGCGGGCCAAGTCGGGGGCTTTCCGGCGGTCCCCACCTCCCACCCTCATCTTTCACAGGTTAGGCTCGGCCCCTCCCGGGCCAGAGGAGCACACACTTACTTCTACCCCTCTGGCCGGAAACCTCAAGCGAGAGCAAAGGGTCCCCACCCTTCGCGGAGAAGTGGGGGGAGGGAAAGGCCGCTGAGCCCCTCCCCTGGCCGCGCCCGGCTCCGAGGGACCGAATGAATGAGCCGGGGATAAAAAAGAAGGGAAAGGGCAGCCCGTGCCGCGCGGGGCTCCATTCTTTCCAGGGTGCAGACTGCTCGCGCGAACACCTACTTTGCTCCGTGTTCGCTTAGCAGAGCATCGTAATCGAGTCCCCCCCCGCCCCCAACCTCGGGACTCCGCGTCTAGTCCGGGCCTCCAGGACGCCGTGGAGCTGAGCTCCCCAGCAGAGAGGCGCCGGTCCCTTCCCTGCTGCGCCTCGCCCTCCGCGCGTACCTGCTCCCGGGCCCGCCTTTCTCCCTCCACTTCCCGCTGGAGGCGCTCGGTCCTCTCCTCGGCATCATCCGCCTGCTGCTGCAGAACCTGGATCTTGCGCTTCACCGCCTCGATGGTGGTGATCCCGGCCATGGTGCCCACCCAGCTGCTTCTGGAATTCGGCTCCTACCTCCTCCGCTCGGCGTTGTAGCCGCTTCTCACCCTACTTCCGCCTGCTCCGCCCTGAAATACCGGAACTCACCCACCCGCCCGGATGTGACGCCGCTACCTCCGCGCGTTCCCCACCTCCCCTGCCAAGCAGGCGGGAACGCAGTCCACTCCGAGGGGCGGCGGGCAGAAAGTGAGAGGTGGAGACTCCCAGACGCCCTAGGTGACCGCTCAGGGCGGTCTTTCCTCAGACCAGTAAAGGGGGGCGGGGTTGGGTAAGGCTACCATAGTAACTAACTGAAAGGCGCTTCGTGGTCTAACCTCACCCACCAGGCTGCCTCCCAACAATGGTTGGCCCATTTACAAGTACCGTGCTGTCTTAACACTTCCGCTGTTGACCCCTCTCTTATCCAGTGCCTCCCTACCACTGTGTCCTCTCCACTCTGCAGTCTAAACTATCCCACATGCTTTCACTTCTCCTCACTCTACAACAGACTCCGAAACCAGATTCTGAGAGAAGCCTAAACTTCATCCTGCAGAGTCCCAGTAAGCTCTCTTGAAAATCTATTCAGATATTGCTCAGTTTTTAGAGCACTAGTCTAGCATGCACGAAGCCCTGGGCTCGATCTCCAGAAGCGTGGAAACTGGCATAGTGGCAAGTATCTGTAATCTCAGTACTTGAGGGTGGAGACAGATAAAGAATTCAAGGTCATTCTTGGCGACGTGGTGAATTCAAGGCTATTCTGATGAGCTATGTAAAACGGTGTCTCAAAACAAAACCCAAAACTGTTCAGATAGATTCTCTCCCATCTCCTGGAAGTCAATAAAGGGGTGAAAGAGTCGGGCAAGTGGGCATTCTATAAGGTCAGGTGTGAACTTAACAGTTCTGTTTAGAATACCAGTCAGTCAGTATGCACGATCAGTTAACTTGCCAGCCCCCTTTGGCCCTTGGAATGATTTAGGGCTTGGTAATTTAATTTTCATGCACAACTCCTTTTGTAGACAAGATACTTATGTCTCTAGTCTATCAGGAAGAATTCCTTATTTATGGTTCCTTATTATCATATCCTTGGTGCAACAACAAGATATAAGTATCTGGAAAACTATTGTGGAATTTAACCTCTAAACAGTAATAACTTTCATTGATTTTTTTACTGCCACTTTTTTTCAGTTACTCCAAGGAACTATTATACAGGCCCCACGTACAGGATTTCTGGGAGCACAATTGTAAAGAGGTTTATTTTGTTTTCTCTTTGCTATTCTAGTTTTGTTTGCTTGCTTTGTTTTCATTTGACTTTTTTTTTTTTTTTTTTAAGACAGGGTTTCTCTCTAGCTTGGAGTCTGTCCTGGAACTCGCTCTGTGGATCAGACTGGCCTTGAACTCAGAGAGATCTGCCTGCCTCTGCCTCCCCAGTGCTGGGATTAAAGGAGTATGCCACCACCACCTGGCCTTGTATTCTCTGAGATGATGTCTCAGGTAGTACTGGTTGGCTTCATCTCACTTTTGTAGCCCTGATTAGTCTTAAGCTCTGGATGCTTCTTTAATCAACTTCCTAAATAGTAAAATTTCAGGTGTGAACTATCACACCCTAACTTTATTTCTCTGTATTTCTGCCACTTTCTTGGAAAGAAATAATGATAAATTCTTCCTTTGATACAGCTTTTCTCTTCCCTTAAGAAATGGGATGTGGAATAGGACTTAGAACTAAAAATATTAATTGGGTTGGGGATTTAACTCAGTGGAGGCCCTAGGTTCAGCAAGACACTTACTGCTGTCCATATCTGGTCCTGGTTCTCAGGAAGCTCCCTTCTTTTTTGGGGTGGGGGGAGAATGCTCAACAGTGAAACTACTCAGAAGAAGCAAATTGGACTAGCAACAATTTTCTCAGTAGAGTATCCTGTACACTTTGATTTCCCCACCCAAAACTAAGTCAGAAAAACAAGGTTCTGATACTCAGCAATAACTGTCTTGATGGCCTAAGTATTTCTCAAGCTTGCTTTTAATAAGTCTCTTCACAGGAGTGCCGGTGAAAATTTTGTCATCTGAGTGCTGACCAGCAGGTGGCACTGTTATACCTCCCTGTACCCTTAGACCTCTTCCTAGGCAAACCAAAGTTGAGCCAATACTGCATTGCATTTCTGAGGCTGGTGCCTTTGTACAGATAATCTCTTGATCCAGGGAAGCAGATGGGTAGACAGACTCACAATAGCTTTTAGTGGCATGATGGATGGGCAGCAGGGAGACCAACCAGTGCTATTGTTTTCCTGGTGACGAACAACACAACATACCAACAGGTGTCTCTGTCCATCCCTGTTCTCCTCTTTCCTCATCCTTCCCAACACATGTCCCTAAAAAAATGGTGTTATGACTCTGGTGTCCTAAGTCCTACCCATTGCTCTCCTCTTTCCTCTTGGATTAAGAGGATCTTACGGGTTAGAAAGATGACATGCTGTGCTGTACAAGCATGTACACACACACACACACACACACACACACACACACACACACACACAGTTTTTCGAGACAAGGTTTCTCTGTGTAGCCCTGGCTATCCTGGAACTCACTCTGTAGACCAGGCTGGCCTCAAACTCAGAGATCTGCTTGCCTCTGCCTCCCAAATGCTGGGACTAAAGGCGTGGGCCACCACTGCCTGGCATTGTGTATGTATATTTTGCTACAATTTTAAACTATAATAGTATCTAAACTCTGGGAAGAAAAAAATACACAAGATTGGACTGACCTTGCCACAGCTTTGCCCTTTCTTTGTCCAAGCAGCCCTAAAAAATCCTACACATTCAGAAAGGCTTCTCAGATAACCAAAAGTACTGGTGTAAACACATAGTTATTGGCTCTCTCCTCCCTCTCTCCCCAATACAGTTACATCAAAATAATATGCTGCTACTTACGTACTAATCTCAAGGTCAGAAGCTGAGCTGTGAGCCCTGTCTGTGTTAGACAAAACACCCTCTCACAGAGGGCACACATAATCTTCACCCTCTAAGTCTCAGTGCCCTTCCTTGTTTAGCACTCTTCCCAATCCCTGTAGACACCCTACTTTCTTTCTTGTACTTGAAGTGAAGGGTCAGCAAGTTTTCAGTAAAGGGCCTGATAGAATGCCTGGCTTTACAGGTCATATGAACTCTGCAGCAATTATTTTATTGAAAGGAGAAAACTACTAGATAATATGTAAATAAAGAGCATGAGTATGTTCTAATAAAACTTTACTTACAAAACCAGGCTGTGGCAGGGCTTAACCCACAGATGGTACTTTGGGAAAAGATACCTTTCTTCTTGCTTCTGTCTCAACAACCACCCCCTTTTTGTTTTGTTTGTTTGAAATGGAGTTTCTCTATACAGCCCTGACTGTCCCAGAACTTACCATGTAGACCAGGCTGGCCTCAAACTATAGAGCCCCACCTGCCTCTGTCTTCTGAGTATTGTGATTAAAGGCGTTTGTCACCATGCCCAGCTAGTTTCTTGTTCTTGTACATATCTATGAGGGGTACTCACTGACTATGGGAAAAAGGTAACAAAGGGGACAGGGTTAAGTTGAGGATTTAAAATTTTAAGACGACATTTTCCATATTTAATTTTTTTAGTTAGGCAGTGGTGGCATAGGCCTTTTATTCCAACACTCAGGAGGCAGAGGCAGGCAGATCTCTGAGTTTGGGGGCAGTGTGGTCTACAGAGTGAGTTCCAGAACTACATAGAAAAACCCTGTCTCAACAAACAAAAATTTTGGGAATTTCTATGTAAATTCTATGTAAATTTCTTTCAAACAAATACAGTGGTAAGACAGTGTTTGTGTAGTATATGTGTGTGCTGTACTCCTGTGTATAAAACATCCTAAAATTGGCAAAATTCATCCCCAGGGAATTCTATTATCCTTGTGAATATATTGGCATACTTTCTGGAAATCCTTCCCTCTCCTTTTCCCAAGGTTTGTATAACACCGAGTTCTTGTCCTGGTTATTAGCTCTTTCTGGCTAAGGACCTTTCTAAGGAGGTGTTACTTGGCATCTCACAAAACTGTTACTAGCCTAACATAGTGCTAGTTTGTGAAAACACTTGTCATCCTGCCTCCATATTTAGGACCAGAGAGATCTATCTATCTGTGCCTGTAAGCTGGGCTAAGCAATTCAAGCAGGCCTTCAAGTACCTGATCAATCCTGGAGACAACAAAGTTTAGTTTTCCAAAAACAAAGACATAGCAGTGTGTAACAGGCAAGACTTTATAAACTATGACTGTGTATAGTGCATGTTCCCCTGTTTACATCACCAATCTCTGGTGTCATGTGGTCTAACACTCATTATGTCTGAGCCTTTGAAAGTGAAGAACCAAAGGGAAGAGCACTTGCCCCATGGCAGAGACTGAGTGTGAGGATCTAAATGCATTTGTAAGTCGTCCACTCTGTCCTTTAACTGTTTTCCAAAACCAAATGTGACTTAAAATAACATTGGATTCTATTTTTCTCCTCACCCAGAGGCTGAGAAACGCCTGTGTAACTGACGTATCTTTTTGTTACTGTTAAGATCCCTATGAGCTAGGTCAGTCCAGGGGGTACTAGATTTAATACCCAGCATTGCAATTAAAAAATAATAAATGAAACAATTCTCTGATACTTTTCTTCAAAATAGATGTCCTATATAGTCTCATTTCTCTTTGCAAAAAGAATTGAGGTTGATGATGAAGGAAAGCAGGTGCTAAATTATAATAGGCAGTGAGCAAAGGAAATTTTAATTTTAAGAGAGAAAAGCCCTAAAGAACTGTGAAATTTATTCAGAGCCATTGGGTAAGTTCTGGGACAATACCTTTGCCTGCTTCCCAGTTTCTATTATAGTCCATCCTTGATAGCTCATTGCTCTCCTATGATCAGGCTTCCCTGTAGCATCTTTGTGGCAGGGCAGATGCCCACCTTGACCATGACAGATTACCCATATAGGGTCAGGGTCAACGTGACCTCCATTTCCTATTGTGAAATCTAAGCCGGCTTTGTTGGGTAATTGAGAGATGAGAGGTTCCCTATTAATACACACATGCACATGCCAAACCTGGTACACAAAAGCTAAGAATGTGGCATGGGGGTGGAGGTGGACACCTGATAGCGTGCATCTGGACTTGGAAGCTCCTCTCTTTGTCCAGGTCCTAGAAAAGGTCATTACCGAGAAGGAGGTTTAATAGTATAGAAATGAGACTTCCATATGTCTTTTTTTTTTCCAGTGCTTGGCATAGAACCCAGGGATCCATGCACATTAGGAAAGCAACACTACCATTGAACTATGCTCTCAGCTTCAACGTGTCTTTGAGTAAAACAGACTATTCCAATATAAGAGCATGCCATCATGTTACATGCAAAAGCATTATTTTGGCTATATACCCACTGCCTCTAAACCCACAAAGAAGCCATCTCCCAAATACTTACATCAGCTGCCTTCTTCTCCGCTAGCTCCAGCTTCTCCTGGGCATCCTTTAAAGCTTCAGAATACTTGTCCAGCTCATCTTCTGTTCCTTTCAGCTTCTTTTGCATGGTTGCTAATTCATCCTCTAACTGTAGAAGCCAGAAGAGTAACCAGAGACATAAACACAACCATGCATGCTTAGACTCTAAAGACCTCTGAGCTCAGCCTCCATGTTATCGCCACCCCACCCAGAGAGACACACTTTCTCCTTGTGCTATGGTGGCTTGACATTGGACTCTATAAGATGACCAAGTCTGGAGTTTTCATCCAAGACTACTGGATGTAAACATTGAAGAGAGAAAAAAATGGAGCATGCTCTTACCTTTTGCTCTAGAAGTGAAACATTCTTCTAAAATATGGTCTACTTCTAAAGTCCAGCAGGTACACTGTGGCACAAAAGAAGCCACCAGCTTTCTCAAGGTCATATGAATATTCTAAGGTGGATACCCTAGAGCAGTGGTTCTCAACCTTCCTAATGCCATGACTCTTTAGTGTAGTTCCTCATATCATGGTGATAAAATTATTTTGTTGATACCTCATAACTATAAATTTGCTGCTACTGTTATGAATGGTAATGTGTTTTTGATGGTCCTAGGCAACCCCTGTGAAGCCCAACAGGGCCATGACCCACAGGTTGAGAATGGAAACACTGCTCTAATTGTTCCCTGCCCCTCCATTTTCCCATGATAACCAACCGTTTTCCCTCTCTCTCTCTCTCTCTCTCTCTCTCTCTGTTTTCAAGACTGTTTCTCTGTGTCTCTCTGGCTGTCCTGGAACTTGCTGTGTAGACCAGGCTAGCCTCTGCCTCCTGAGTGTTGTTTTGTAGCTAGTAAGACCAATGCCAGCGTGTACCTGTTTGCTTCTTTCTTCTGCCTGCTTCTGCTCAGCTTCAGCTTGCTCAGCCCGGTCCAGAACATTCTCCTTGTCTAACTTCAGCATCTGCATCTTTTTCTTGATGGCCTCCATCATGAGCTGTGACTGTTGGTGGGCTTACCTGTGAACACTGGAGAACTGGAGGCTAGGACAAGAAAGGAAGGACTGCCACCTGAGTGACTAGAAGTTCCCCAAGTTTGAACCTTTATCTTTGGTCACGGCTCCACCTCTTATTCCTAACATGGTCTTTCAGGCTCCCTCCCAAACCATCATTGTTCTCCTGGGGGAACACAGGGTCACACACATTGATAGACTGACATCACCAGCAAGAAAAAATATTGAGGGACAGCTGAGGCTGATTTTAGACAATGGAAAGTGGGGGTGGTGGGAGGCTGACCTTGAAACTTTCCACTCGTTCTTGGCAGCTCTGTGGGTCTCTCAGAAGTGGAGGGACAGAGGAGGGGAGAACACTGAAATAGAGAAGGATTCTTTGGCAGTTCTATCCCCCAGAGGGTCCTAGTTGCCTTCAGCTCTCTCGTTTTTCCCTAGACTGTATTGGATATGGACCAAACTCTACTGGTTGAGTTTCTTCTTTTGATTCCTGGTATTTAAGGATGGTGAACAACAGTGCAGAGGGGAGGTCACTCATGATCCTTGACAATTCCCCCAGATTGCCAGTTGGAATTGCTGTGCTATTTTGGGATTCTCTAATTGGGCAGGGAGACATCAGCCTGTAAGAACCATAAGGTAGATGGGAGGGTTAGGATCTGAAAGACTATCCTAGGGTTTCAAGTGGATTGAAAAATAAGGAGGGTCACAGTACAAAATCATGACTTCTGTTTTCTCATAATGTTCTTAAAATAGAACTTTCATATCCACGTGTCCCAAAATCTGTGTTGCTTTCTACTGCTTCTCTTCTAAACCCCTGCCCAGCCTACTGTCCACCATGCCATTATATTCATCACCACCAGCTCTGTTTTCCCCAGTGTAGTGCCAGCCATGGTCATAATTCCACTTGGAATCTTGTTATTGACAGGTGGCAATTGATCCCATACACAGTTGCCATATACCCCAGTATGCCAGAGAAGTGGACACTGTTCAAGGTGACCAAGGGTAGTGGGGAAAATAGAAATGATTCTAATTAGTTCATAATGTCAAGGATAGTGTCAAGGCTAAACCACAGCAATGTGGTAACTGAGTCGAGTATCAGGGTGGGGGCAGGGCAGAGTTGCCTAACTCATGAGAGCCTCCACATTAGGAGCGGACTGCTAGATAGATCATCTACTAACTGCTGGAAGAAAGCAAGGAAACCAAGTACCCTTACTTCAGAGCCATTCAAGGAAAGGGGGATTGGGATCAAAAGAGAACCAGGGGAAGAAAATGGGCAAATAGGGAGGAGGGCAATACAGGGACCAAAAAAAAAAAGCTGTATCCTCTCATCCTCTCTACTATAAGAGGCAACACACACACACACACACACACCCACACACACACACACACACA